GAAATAACCCCATTCAGGTCAAATTCGACAACACTTGATTTTCGACCAAAATTTCAAGAAAATTGAAAAAACTAATGATGCCATTCGATAGCCAATCCAAATTTCCCCCTCCCAGGGTTTCAGAATCGCATGTGAATTTTTTTTGTGCACTTTTTTCATTCTCGTGCGATTTTGAAGCCCTGGGAGGGGGAAATGACCCCCCTAGACCCCCCCTTTCAGGCTGATCATTTGGATTGGCTATCGAATGGCATCATTAGTTTTATCAATTTTCTTGAAATTTTGGTCGAAAATCAAGTGTTGTCGAATTTGACCTAAATGGGGTTATTTCAACCCCTGGGGCTGCTTCGCCTCCCGCCCCAAATGTTTTTGAATCTATTTTTGATTCCGATTCCAATGCATCAAACAGATTTAGGATTGCTCACAATTTCAACGAGAAATTGATCTGTGCAGAAAAACGGCATTTGGTGTCAGAACCTATGAATAGAATCCATATTTGCTAAAAAATTCTTATGTAAGAATTCGTTCACAGCATCCGATCACATCTGTGTCGAATGAGTCCGAAATTGAACACACGTGGGAAATGAAAGGGAACGTATCGCTGTTTCTATTTTTGATCAATCACCCAGCTCTAGACACTAAGTAAATGTTACTTAAGTCAAAATAAGACCTAGGTCATTGGTAAAATAAAAAGCAATAAAATGATTAATTACCACTTAACGCCTATGCCGTCAATTTTTTTTTTGTAATGTCATCATGTTTCATCAAATTTAACACATATTTTCTCTCTGAATGCGAAGACGTATGTAGTGTGCGTTCATTCGGATGTATGGAAAAATTAATAGATTGATATTTTTCATTAATTATGTTCGATTTCCTCAATTCGTACAGAAAACTAATACACACATCGAACAACATTAGATGATTCTATTTTAACGTTGTCAAGCAAATGACATCTGAAATCTATTTGCAAAACGTATAAATGTGGAAAAATTTGCAAATTGGTCTCCAGTTTTAAATGAGTAGTCGATGAGGAACATCGAAGTACAAGCAGATGAATTTTTGTTGGGTTTCAAATTTATGGTCTGTCAATTGTGCCGTGTTTTTGGAAATTTTTTAGTTCATTTTCATCGTTATAGCTTGACAAGTATTCTTAATAATTGAAAATGACAAATCTAACTGAAGTTAAAATGATCAAATTCACACTAACGATTTTTATTGTAGCCGCATTTTTGATTGCGGACTGTTACTCAGATCCAGTGGTGCGTATAATGTTTTTTTTTCAAAATGAAGAATTTCTTAGAACATGGAACAAATAAAAATTGAAAAAAAAACGAAGAGAGTAAAAAAAATGTTTGAATATATTTTGATAAATTCTTTAAGATAAAAATGCTTCGTCAAGAAAACTACCAGGCTGAAAAACATGCTGTAAAAACTAAAGATGGTTATATATTAACTATGCATCGAATTCCAAATCCAAATCGTCCACCCATCCTTCTAATGCATGGTGAGTGTTAGAGTGAAAAATACCGAGGTAAAATGTGAATTAAATAAACTGCAATTACAATCTAAAAGGCCTTGCGGACAGTACAAAGGGATATTTACGATATAGCTCTAAATCATCAACGGCATTGGAACTTTTCGAACTTGGTTATGACATTTGGATGGTAAATGCCAGAGCCAATATATACTCACGGCAACATATCCACTTGAATGCAAGCGATCCACAGTTTTGGGATTTCACTTGGCACGAAATTGGTGTGTACGACATACCAGCAACCATTGATTACATTCTAGAGCACACAAATCACACGAAACTAGCATTCATTGGCACGTCACAAGGTACTACCGCTATCTTGGTGACACTTTCCGAATTGCCAGAATACAACGAGAAATTAAGTGTTGCCAATTTGATGGCGCCGGCGATCATTTTTAAACATATGCACGCCGCATTTCCCAAATCCATTAAGCTGGTGAATATGTTGGGTGTAAGTTAATTTATCGGTGAAGAATTTTCCTAGATACCTCATAAACGATCAAATTTTTGAAAAGAATTATAATTTTACAGGAATGGCTTCAATTGGGCGGTTTAAATGATTTAGTACCACATTCGTTAGCCAGTTCGATTCAAGTGATCGCTCCCTTCTGCATGATGCCCATCGGTAGTGAATTGTGTAAAAATGTTGTATTTACATATTGCGGACCTTCGATTCAATATTATGATGGAATGATATTGAGCATGTCGCATTATCCAGCCGGTTCAAGCTACAAGCAATTCGTTCATTTTGGCCAGCTCATGGCTACAGGTTACTTCATTTCTTTTTGTAAATGGTTAACACACACTTTCATGTATTTCCTGTAACTAAATGTTTCAAACATTTCAGGAAAATTCCATAAATTTGATTACGAAGATGAGGCGAAGAATATGGAAATGTACGGCAGTCAACTGCCACCTGAATATGATTTATCGAAAATCACAACGAAAATCCACATGTTGTATGGATCCAACGATTTTTTGGCACCGCTCGAGGTACCGTAACTGGCACTTGCTAACTGCACTGACATCTAATCATTTGGCAAAGTACCTGATATCGTATCAGAATATTCCGTTGATAGTGGAAAAACTGACATCGAGCATTGTCACACTGAGCAAATTTCCTGGATACAATCACATGGATTTTACCTACGGCCGAAATTTGAAACAAGTTAACAAAAAATTATGTAATGAAATAAGGCTTATAACATAGTTTATTCATTATAATGGCTGATTTTGGCTTTAATTGTTATTTGGTTTCAAATCTATTTAATTCATTTTAATTGCAATAAAAGAAAACTATATGTCTACAGACGAGTCATTTTATCTACAAAACGTGTTCAACAACCATATGAGCTTACTTAAAATCTCGAATAACGCATTGGTAATAACGATACTCATTCAAAATGGATCCCATTCAAGTTCTTCGTCGGGGTCATCACCATCAACGACTGAACATTGTCTTAACCTGCGATTAATGCACATGATTATGGAATGTTAAAAGAGTGATCGTTGCAGATAACTGGAAATGGTCTATACGAAAGCATTGACCTAATCCTATCCTAAACCGTTTACTATCTGACTACTGCCAAGCATTTCCATCTTGGTTGTATGACACTTTTTTTTTGTTCTCATGTGCCTACTTGTGAGAATATTGCATAATTTATGAAACGAGGCGAGAGATGAAAATTACTGCAAATTTCTGTAACAGTTCATGCACTCTTTTCCGACAAAAATTCTAAACCAAACCAAACCTCTATTTTATCCAGTCAGAATTTGGCGGTGTTGAATGAAATAAAAAAATAAAAAAAGAATAGAATCATAGGTTCTGACACTAAATGCCGTTTTTCTGCACACATCAATTTCTCGTTGAAATTGAGAGCAATCTCAAATCTGTTTGCGCATTGGAATCGGAATCGAAAATAGTTTCAAAAACATTTGGGGCGGGGGGCGAAGCAGCCCCAAGGGTTGAAATAACCCCATTCAGGTCAAATTCGACAACACTTGATTTTCGACCAAAATTTCAAGAAAATTGAAAAAACTAATGATGCCATTCGATAGCCAATCCAAATTTCCCCCTCCCAGGGTTTCAGAATCGCATGTGAATTTTTTTTGTGCACTTTTTTCATTCTCGTGCGATTTTGAAGCCCTGGGAGGGGGAAATGACCCCCCTAGACCCCCCCTTTCAGGCTGATCATTTGGATTGGCTATCGAATGGCATCATTAGTTTTATCAATTTTCTTGAAATTTTGGTCGAAAATCAAGTGTTGTCGAATTTGACCTAAATGGGGTTATTTCAACCCCTGGGGCTGCTTCGCCTCCCGCCCCAAATGTTTTTGAATCTATTTTTGATTCCGATTCCAATGCATCAAACAGATTTAGGATTGCTCACAATTTCAACGAGAAATTGATCTGTGCAGAAAAACGGCATTTGGTGTCAGAACCTATGAATAGAATCCATATTTGCTAAAAAATTCTTATG